AAAACCTGTAAAATGCAAAAAAATGAACAAAAAGAGTTGAAAATTCCAATTGCACACCTTCATATGGTGAATAATAAGTGTACAAATTTTCAGATTAATAATTGCAATAGTTTCTGAGAAACGGTCTGGACAAAACCACAAAATAAAAATGAAAAAACACCTGTAAAATTCAAAATAATAATCGAATCAAGATGAAAATATCAGGTGCACAACTTCATACGGTGAATAATATTTGTACAAATTTTCAGACAAATCCTTCCAATAGTTTCTGAGTAATGGTCCGGACAAAATCTCGTCTACAGACAGACAGACAGACGGACAGACGGACAGACGGACATGGTGATTCCAATATACCCCCCCTAAACTTCGTTTGCGGGGGGTATAAAAAGCAAGTTTACAAATGACAACTTACAGATTCCTTTTATAAAGAAACTAATTTGAGCCTAAGTCACCAGTCAGCTAAGACACATTTATTTTATTCTTCAACAATTATATAATGTATATTTTTATATAAAGCCTTACCTCCGGTAAACCCGGGCTGACAGATACACTTTCCTGTGGTGACATCACAGCCCTCAGATAAGGGGCCACACGTACAGTTCAGGGTACAACCCGGTCCATATCTTCCCTTGGGACACTGGAGATAAAGAAGAGTGTTTAAATGTTAACAGAGTTAAAGTGACTAAAAGATCCCACAACTAGCGAATTTATTATGAGAACAATAAGAATCCACACAAATAAAGAATCTATTACACATGACCTCTGAGAACAATCAAATCCCAAAAAGAATCTATTCTAGAGTAAATCTTGTTTAGTCCGAACACGGATGTTGTGAATTTACGGATATATAACAAAGTCATCTTGAATCCCCAGCTACATAAAATGAATAAATTTCTTATACGGTTATAACAAATTACAGATATAGCGAAGTAATTTCATAGGTCCCAGCGACCTCGTTATAACAGAGTTTTGCTGTAGTTACATACACTCTGAGAACAATAAATAAAGTATTATGAATCCCACAAACAAGGTATCTATAATACTTACCCTCTGAGAACAATCAGATCCCATGAATCCCCTGGGACACAGACAGGTTCCATTGACATTGTTACATTCTCCACCATTCTGACAACTTTCAAATAAAAAAATATAAATGTGAACAAAGTAGACACGGAGACATAATTCTAAAATCTTAAATACAATTGAATACAGTGTGACATATTTTGTCTTTATTTTTTTCCCCATTGATCTGTGATCAAGATTGTTACAAATTTCAAGAAAAATTCATTTTAAATACGTTCATAAATATTTCATCTTTGTGAATGTTTATTTCAAAAATAAAATAAAGAGATGCCTTAAATAAGAGTGAACAATCCTGATGTACCTGCAGTTCTGTTTACATCCATTGCCATAGGTACCTGTAGGACATGGCTGTTGACAGAAAACTCCCTGGTAACCAGGTAAACATTGACACTGTCCAGAGACTGGGTCACAGGTGTTGCTATGGACACACTGGTCACAGCCATGGATACACCCAGGACCATAGGTCAGCTTCTATAAAATTAATAGAGTTGACCTGAATAATTAGGTCACAGTGATAGATACAGCACGGGTCATAGGTCAGCTTCTGTAAAACCAATACGGTCCAACTATAATTGACCGATGCTAGAAAGTGGAGAAAATCTCCCCAAAATTGCGCAAAATATTGTGTCGGAAATTGCACCTTTTTTGCATTACAGGATCTGTAGCATTATGGTCAAAGACAATTTAATATATATAAAACCATAACGCTACAGATCTGCAGCTTCTAATTTACCTGACATTTCTGGTTACAGTCAAGTCCATAGAACCCAGCATCACATAAACAGATGTCGTTATTAAAATGACAGCGGCCATGGTAACAGTTACTGCAAGCGGGTTTACAGGATAAAGCTATAAATAGATTTACATAAATAAGTTATCAATAGATTTACTTTAAAAAGCTAAAATGATTTACAGAATTAATTTATTTTGGATGGTTCTTGAAAGTTTGTCCAATTAGCTATGTTTTCAGTGTGCTAAGCAGATTAAAAACTTGATTATATGAAAAGTTTAAAGCAAAAAATACATCAAAGTAAAACTTACTTGAGACGGTAGCTCCTCCTAGGGCTGGTGTATCTGTTAACAGTAAAAAAACACAATGAGAGAAAATCATAACTTTAAAAAGAAGAAAGCAACATTCCTTTTTTTTACTGACAAATATAATGGTACAGAGACTTTACAATGTATATACATGTATATTACACTTAAACATTGTACATTCCTATGCTAATTATCTGGTATATATTCATTGCTATTGTCTAGTACATACAAGTGTTCACCAACCATTTAGTACAATCCCCCATGTTTACATTATCTGGTACAAACCTATGTTGACATTATCCCGTATATACCTTTATTTACATTATTTGTTACAAACATTTGTTTACACATTATTTGGTACATACCTATGTTTACATTATCTGGTACATATAGTACTTATGTTTACATTATTTGGTACATACCTATGTATACGCATTATTTGGTACATATACACATTAACTGGTACATACCTATGTTAACATTATCTGGTCCATTTCTCTGAGTTTACATTATCTGATACATGCCTATGTTAACATTATGTGGTACATACCTATGTTTACATTTTGCGGTACATACCTATGTTAACATTATGTGGTACATACCTATGTTTTCATTATGCAGTACATCCTATGTTAACATTATGTGGTACATAACTATGTTTACATTATGTGGTACATACCTATGTTAACATTATGTGGTACATACCTATGTTTACATTATGTGGTACATAGAGTACCTATATTTACATTATTTGGTACATATAGTACCTATATTTACATTATTTGGTACATACCTATGTATATGCATTATTTGGTAAATACCTATGATTACACATTAACTGGTACATTCCTCTGAGTTTACATAATCTGGTTTATACCTATGTGAAAATTATCTGATACATATCTATGTTTATATTTTCTGGTACATACCAATGTTTACATTATCTGGTACATACCTATATTTACATTACCTGGTACGTACCTATGTTTACATTAGCTGGTACATACCAATGTATACATTATCTGGTACATGCCTATGTTTACATTATTTTGGTACATACCTATGTTAACACAAGGACTGTCACACCTGCTGCCTTTCCATCCCTTGTCACACATACAATTCCCTGTAGATCCACAGTAACCATGGATACACTGACATCGATTCTGACAGGAATCACCATAGTAACCAGTGGGACACTTACAAGGACTATTTTTATCCTAAAATAATCCAACAAAAATGTGTTAAAACATTGTTAGCAAAGAGGGTGGTTCACTAACTCAATAAAATGGCCCTGTTATTATACCAATTAACTGACCAAGTCCTTACCTACCATTCCAAAAATCAATATAAAGTAGAGACTAAGTGCTTTCATTTCCTAAAAAAATTTCTTCTGAGAGTTCAAGCTGTGATACTCAGGCTATGTGAAACTACAATGTTCTTGAATTTTGAAAAAAACGAGTAAACTTGAGCATCTTCAACTATTGATTAAAATATGAGCCCAACTCGCAATCCAAAATTGTTTTCATGGATTAGAATCTCACGAAACATTTCTTTAATTTTATAGTTCAATATTTAAGATCAGAGGTTGGGGGTTATGCAAAATATTTAAAAAGGGCTAAAAATTTTGCCCATTTTAAAGAAATTTTCAAGGTTTAAGGAAAATGATGCAATTCATGACATCATAATACATGGGCAAGCGAAAAATTACATCATTTTTATTTAATATAAAGTCACCAAGGGTCCAAGTGAAATTTAACATATTTTCAACGAAAATTGAGCAGTTTTGATTTTTCAGAAATTCACAAGACCAAAAGAGGCCCAAGGTGAACATTGTTCTTTATGTCACTTTAGTTAACTCACAGAGGCAGTCCTGTTGCTATAGTTACCTGACAAATACACAGCCCTGTTGCTATAGTTACCTGACAAATACACAGTCCTCTTGCTATAGTTACCTGGACAATACACAGTCTTGTTGCTTTAGCTACCTGGCGAATACAGTCTTGTTGCTATAGTTACCTGACGAATACACAGTCCTGTTGCTATAGTTATCTGGCAGATACACAGTCCTATTGCTATAGTTACCTGACAAATACTCGGTTGCTATAGTTACCTGACAAATACACAATCCTGTTGCTATAGTTACCTGACAAATACACAATCCTGTTGCTGGGCTACACATCCCTGGATTACAAGTGGGACAGTGTTGTGTACAATTGTTGCCATAGTAACCAGAGCCACATGGAATCTCACAGTTCTGTCCAGACCAGCCAGGTGGACAAATACACAATCCCGTTGTCTATAAAATACAAAGAACTGAGTACCAAAACAGTTGTCTACAAAATACAAATAACTTAGTACTTACCAAGACAGACATTTACAACATATAAATGACTGAGTACCAAGATAGATTCTTCAAAATATCTAGAAATGAGTACCAGGACAGATTTCTTCTATTGACTTATACTCTGTAAATGTCTAAATATAAATCAAAGCAAAGGACATCTTGACATGTCCTTATATGGTCATCTTAGCCTTACTCTTTGACCTAGATTCCTATCCCAGGAGAAATGAAAGTATAAGGTTTAACAAAAAGCCCAATCAATATTGTATACCTATATATTTCAAACACTAAGAAAAATTCTTTGTAGAAACCCTTATCACTGCTCCTATCCACAAAATCCTAGGAATTTTTTTTTTGTGTTTCACCATAAGTAGAATAGGATAAGTTCATTTAAGTCATCAAACCTCTGAAGTTTATGGCATTTTATTTTTCAATATGCTTCTTTGGTCTTTATTCTTAACTTACATTTATATTCTGTGGACATAATTTTGGATATTAATTGGATTGTGGAGTGTGCTGAATGAATCTTGCAAAACCATAATATTTATTTTGAAAATCAGGATATCATTAGTTACAAAGATTTGTAGTAATCAGGTATTATTAGTTACATAGTCTTTTAGTGACAAGGTATGGGATGATACCTGGTTAGTAAAGGACAAGATAGGGTAAGGCACCTCTTTGGCCCCTGATTTTGGCTGTCTTTCAGAATGATCCAGTAGTGTATCCATAAAAAGCTGTTGTCACCCCTGCCACAAAATGAGTAATGGTTTTATTATTTAGAATATACAGAGGTCATATAGAGGTCAGGAAATAGGTCAATTTTCGAATTTTCCCATTTTTATGTAAATTTTCATCGATTTTACAGCACATTTTGTTTCGGAAAACATAAGAGCACAAGCTTGCCTATCTACCAAATTTATATATTTTATACACTAGTATCAGATGCAGTATATGTGTAAAAATCTCAGATAGGCAAGCGTGTGCTCTACGTTTTCCGAAGAGAAAAGTATCTGAAATATAATGAAATTCCACCAGAATTGAGGAAATTCGGAAAATGTCCTACTTCTGCACCCTCTAGTGGCTTCCATGTAAGCTTTGAATCTTAATTCATGGTTGTTTTGAAGTAAGCACCATTTTAACTTCTTTAAACTACAAACTATCACAATTTTATCAATGTTCTGGTTTTTACATCAAATAAGGGGCCAAATTTGGCCGTTACCCTATCTTTTCCTTTCATACCTGGCGAGGCAGAGCCGATGAAACATTTACGTTTTATCTGTAGTTTATAAATGGTTTTCTCTGCCAAATGCTTCATCGCGCTTATACTGTGCCTATTATGACGTCACATTTGTGTTTGTGACGTGTTATGGGTCAGAATAACCCTAAATGCCAGCAAAGATCAATAACACAATTTAAACTTAACAATAATTTATTTACAGTAATATATAATAAGTATATGAAACATAAAGTACAAACTTAGCAAGAATCTAAAAATACATACATCAGAGTGTCCGTTGCTGCACACAATGTCCCAGTGAAAATATATCCCATTTATATCTCAATAGTGCTTATACGACAAAGTATTGTTATGCATCGAATTGACAGGGTATTTATACAGTAATATAAATCTAGAATATTCTAGAAATTGTTAAAACATGATATTACTGGAACAATCTGGACATACACAAAATTTAAGAATGTTCTAGATAAAATGACCAAACATGTTGACCACTCTGGAATGCTCAAGAAACTTAATGTTACTAATAATATACAAGATGAAACAATACACATCTCACAACACCTCCCCCCTTAAAAAGTTTGAATGTCAATGAAAACTTATATTATTAAAACATAGGTACATTAATACAAAATCTAGTATGTTTACGATACTCTTGACAAGGCATCTGCAATAACATTGTCTTTGCCTTTGATATGCTTAATTGTTATGTTGTATTCTTGTAACAACAAACTCCATCTAGTCAGTCTTTGATTTTTGTTTGACAATTTATGCAAAAATGTCAGGGGGTTGTGATCAGTATACACAAGAATTGGATGCAATGTAACATTCAGATAAACATCAAAATGCTGTAAGGCTAACAACAAAGCAAGGCATTCCTTTTCAATGGTGGAATACTTTTGTTGACATTTTGTAAGTTTCTTTGAAAAATAAGAAACAACTCTATCTACATTATCACTATGTTCTTGAAACAAAGCTGCCCCGATTCCAGCATCACTAGCATCAACAGTAAGCTTAAATTGCTTAGAAAAATCTGGAGTTGACAGAACTGGGTTGCTCATAAGGACAGATTTGATTTTATGAAAGGATTTTTCACAGTCCTTTGTCCATTCAAACTTAACCCTCTTCTGCAAAAGATTTGTAAGTGGACTAACTACTGAGGAAAAATTTGGACAAAATTTTCTGTAAAACCCAGCCATGCCCAAAAACCTCATTAACTCTTTCTTGTTTGTAGGAATCGGGAACTTTGCAATAGCTTCCACTTTAGCCATAATGGGTGTAACATAACCTTGACCTACTTTATGACCTAAATACTCTACATAGGCATGACAAAATTCGCTCTTCTCAAGGTTCACAGTTAAGTTTGCTTTAGCTAAAATGTCAAATAAAGCACGCATGATTCGGAGATGTTCGTCCCATGTGTCACTGTATATGACGACATCATCAATGTAGGCCTCGCATCCCTCAAGGTCTTGAAGAAGGGAGTGAATCATCCTTTGGAATGTAGCCGGTGCGTTTTTCATGCCAAAAGGCATTACTTTATACTGGTAAAGTCCATCTGGTGTAGCAAAAGCAGATATTTCTTTTGCTCTTTCTGTTAACGGCACTTGCCAGTAGCCTTTCAACAGGTCAAATTTACTGACAAATTTGGCGTTTCCAATGCTGTCAATACAGTCATCAATTCTAGGTATTGGATCAGTTTTGGTAACAGAATTCACCTTTCTAAAGTCTGTACATAATCGGTACGAACCGTCCTGTTTTGGTACAAGAATACACGGTGAGCTCCAATCACTTTTACTAGGTTCAACAATGTCATTGTCCAACATGTACTGCACTTCCCTTCTTAGGTACTGCAATTTTATTGGATTGAGACGGTACGGATGTTGTTTGATAGGCAGAGCGTCGCCAACTATAACATCATGACAAGCTGCATTAGTTTTCTTTGGAACATCCGAGAAGATTTGATGGTACTCATTCATCAAGTTTTTAACTTGTTCTTTTTGGTGAATGTTCAAATGTCCAAGTTTGGCATCAAAATCAGCCAAAATTTCTGAGTTTTTCAAGCGGACACTCTGATTACAATCTTTCTCATTCATCTCTACACTCGTATCACTCTCAATACAATTTTGAACAGTCTTAGCGTTGGCTAAAGTGGAAACTGGTTTTACAGAATTTCGGTCACACCTTTCAAAATACTCTTTTAACATGTTAATGTGACAAACCCGTTTCTCTTTACGTCGACCTGGTGTCTTAACCACATAGTTTACATCACTGATCTTGCTTTCAATTTCATAAGGGCCATAAAATTTGGCCTGTAAAGGATGACCAGGAATAGGTAAAAATACAAGAACCTTATCACCTGGCTTAAACACCCTATTTCTGGCATCTTTGTCATACCACATTTTCATTTTCATCTGAGAACTCTTCAAATTTTCTTGTGCTAATTTACAAGCATTGTAAAGTTTTTCTTTGAAATCAGACACATAATCTAAAAGATTAAGATCACTAGTCTCAGTCAGCCACTTTTCCTTCAACAATTTCAAAGGACCTCTAACTGTATGACCGAACACCAATTCAAAAGGACTGAACCCAAGAGACTCCTGGACTGCTTCTCGTGCAGCAAATAGTACAAGATGAACCCCTTCATCCCAGTCTTTCTCATACTGGTAACAATAGGTCTTCAGCATTGTTTTTAGGGTTTGATGAAAACGTTCTAGCGCTCCCTGGGACTCAGGATGATAAGCAGTTGATCTATACTGCCTAATACCCAACTCATACATGACTTGCTGGAACAACCCCGACATAAAATTTGAGCCTTGATCCGACTGAATTGCCTTGGGTGCTCCTACAAAACTGAAAAACTTGGTTAGGGCCTTAACTATGCTCTTTGCCTTTATATTCCTAAGAGGTATGGCTTCAGGAAACCGAGTGGATGTACACATAATGGTAAGTAGATACTGGTTTCCAGATCTGGTCCTAGGCAAAGGTCCTACACAATCCACCAACACTCGACTAAACGGTTCTTCAAAAGCTGGAATTGGTTGGAGAGGGGCGGATGGTATCTTCTGATTTGGTTTACCTACCATCTGACAGACATGACACGACTTACAAAACTCAGAAACATCGTTCCTTAGCTTAGGCCAATAAAAATGACTCAAAATCCTATTATAAGTCTTATTGATACCTAAATGACCAGCCATAGGTGTATCGTGAGCTAAACTCATGACATCTCGACGATAAGCAGCTGGGACCACTATCTGGTGAACAACACGCCACACTTCATCTGGGGAAGCGTCAGGTGGTCGCCATTTTCGCATAAGGATGCCATCTTTCATATAGAAGCATTCTCCAACTTTAGTAGCCTCTTCTGGTGGAAGTGCCCTCTTACTAAGTTGAATGATATCTGGGTCTTTATGTTGTTCAGAGAGTAAACGTTCTCGGCTGAGGATGTCCTTGCCTTGGCTAACTATTGGATGCAACTCATCATCCTCACCACCAAATTTTGGTAACAGTTCTTTCTTCTCTTGCTTCTTGATATTGTGTGGTTCCATGCTTGTTTGAGTGCCATCAAGGTCAGATAAGAAAGTGTTCAAATCAATATCAACAGAGGAATTCGTCTCGTCAAAGGCTTGAGTATGGTCTGCCTCCATTTCTCGTCTTCTGGCCATCGCTCTAGTAACAGCACAGGCTAGATAAATGTCATCATCTTTATCATCGCACATGACATCTGGAGTGATTTTCTCACAAACTATAGGATCTGGTACAACTTTTCCACCAGCTAAATCGTTGCCTAGCAACAAAGAAATGCCTGGAACGGGAAGAGTAGGTCGAACACCTACGATAACAGGTCCAGTAACTAAATCTGACTTCAAACTAATTCTATGCAGGGGAACATCAATGACGCCTAGCTCCACACCCTGTAATAAAACTGACCCACCAGTAGAAGTCTGCTCAGACAAAGGAAGCACGCCCTCTAACAATAACGTCTGTGCAGCACCAGTATCTCTCAAAATCTGAACAGGTTTAATTTCGCTAGAGTCACCGAGTGAAACAAATCCCTGAGACATAAAGGGCTTATAATCCTCCATAGAATCAATAGAACTGGACTGTGAACCCTGGACATCAGGAGTGTCAGAACAAATCGAAACTAAGGCTTCTCTATCTCCTCTAACTGCCGCACAAGCATGTGGTTGAGTTTTGTCAAAATCATTTTTTCTCTTAAGTTTAAAGCATTCACTGATCAGATGACCCTTTTTCTTACAATAACTACAAGTAGGAAGCGACCCTATTCCAGATGATCCTTCAAAACGTCCTGGACCGGACTTAGAACCACCTTGGGATGGAGACTGGGAACTTGTGAAAGACTGAGACCCTGAACCACTCTTTTTATATGTGTCTGAATTTGTAGAATTACTGCTAGTCTGAGATCTTGATACAAAATTCTTTTGATGAGACAGAGCGTAAGTATCAGATATGACTGCTGCCTCTTCAAGAGTTTTCACATTCTTATCTTCTAGATGTGTTTTCAAATCTTGAGTAACACATTCCTTAAACTCTTCTACCAGGATGACTTGGCGCAAATTAGCAAAAGTTTTATCAAGTTTCTTAGATCTAAACCAGTGATCGAATAAATCTTCTTTCTCTCGTGAAAATTCAACAAATGTTTGATTATCAAACTTTCTATACTTTCTGAACTTTTGTCTATACGCTTCAGGTACTAATTCATATGCTTTTAATATTGCTGCTTTGACCTTCTCATAGTCTGAACTTTCAGCTACCCCTAGTGCAGAGTATACCTCAGCTGCTTTGCCAACCAGTACACTTTGTAACATTGTTGACCAAACGTGTTGTGGCCATTTAAGATTTTCTGCGACTTTCTCGAATTGGGGAAAATACTTGTCTACAGATTTTTCTTGAAATTTTGGTACTAATCTAATATTTTTTGCTGCGTCAAATTCATTCTTGACAAATGACGGTTCTGGTTGGTGCTGTAATCTTAATTTCTCTAACTCAAAGTGCTCTTGTCTTTCTAATTTGTCTAATTCAAATTTTCGTTCACGCTCTCGTTCTTCTCTTTCTCTTTCTCGGTCTCTTTCTCGCTCTTCTCTTTCTAATTCTTCTCTTTCAAATCGCATTTTCTCTAACTCTAATTGAAACTGATAGTCTGCCATTTTATAAGAGCCTAACTCTGATCTAACTGTATATTCTGGAAAATCGTATTTTTCAAAGATGTTTTCATCTACTAGTTTGTTTGCAACCTTAATTCTAATGTCTTGCTTTTTCTGAGAGGATTTAACATCTAACCCAAAATGCAAACCTAATGCGATCAAGTCATCCTTTTTTAACGTATCAAAAACCTGAACACTTGGCGAACTAAGAAAGTTTGTGACCGAAAATACCATGTTGATTTTTGCTGGCTTATAGTCAAATTTAACAATTTAATTAACAAAATTCTGACAATGAACTGCAAAAGTGCAAGAAATTCTATATCCCGGACGAGCCCCCAATTCTGTTATGGGTCAGAATAACCCTAAATGCCAGCAAAGATCAATAACACAATTTAAACTTAACAATAATTTATTTACAGTAATATATAATAAGTATATGAAACATAAAGTACAAACTTAGCAAGAATCTAAAAATACATACATCAGAGTGTCCGTTGCTGCACACAATGTCCCAGTGAAAATATATCCCATTTATATCTCAATAGTGCTTATACGACAAAGTATTATTATGCATCGAATTGACAGGGTATTTATACAGTAATATAAATCTAGAATATTCTAGAAATTGTTAAAACATGATATTACTGGAACAATCTGGACATACACAAAATTTAAGAATGTTCTAGATAAAATGACCAAACATGTTGACCACTCTGGAATGCTCAAGAAACTTAATGTTACTAATAATATACAAGATGAAACAATACACATCTCACAACAGACGTAATACATCGACCGGGTATAGATTTACTGACCGGGTATGGATTTACAACTGACCGAGTATAAGTATAATCCACCGCCTTCACATGACAGACTTCAACCAATCGTAAGCCAGGATTTCACGGAAAAATCAACAGAGGTGGGATAAAGGATAATACATGGTTAGTAAAGCAGGGTTTCATCCCATATCTAGTCTCTTTAAAACCATGTGACAATTTTAACCCATCACTGACTTTATACATGTCTTTCATTTGTTTATTATTGTTTGTTAACTAAATAATCTTCAACATACTAAATATTTACAGTGTGAGATAATTTAATGAGTAATTTCTGTAGACTCACAGGATCACATGGGGCGCTGTGTTGACACTGGGGGCAGGTTTTAGTACAGCCAGGGCCGTAAAATCCCACTGGACAGGGGTGTTCACACCGGGGTCCTACAAATCCATCCTTACACGTACAGAAACCATAGGCCACATCACAGGAGGATGTCTGATTCATATAACACTGACAACGGGACTGACAGTTCTTACCATACCTAAAAATAGATTACAACACTGACAGCGGGACTGACAGTTCTTACCGTACCTATAAATAGATTACAACACTGACAGCAGGACTGACAGTTCTTACCGTAGCTAAAAATAGATTACATATAGGTTCATATAATACTGACAGCAGGACTGACAGTTCTTACCATAGCTATAAATAGATTACAACACTGACAGCAGGACTGACAGTTCTTACCATAGCTATAAATAGATTACAACACTGACAGCAGGACTAACAGTTCTTACCCTAGCTACAGATAGATATAAACAGTTCATACCGTGCTATAAATAGATTAAAACACTGACAGTGGGACTGACAGTTCTCACCGTACCTATAAATAGATTACAACACTGACAGCTGGACTGTCAGTCTTATTGTAGCTATAAATAGATTACATATAGGTTCATATAACACTGACAGCGGGACTGACAGTTCTTACCGTAGCTATAAATAGAGAATAGCACTGACACAGGACTGGCAGTTCTTACCGTAGCTATAAATAGATTACAACACTGACAGTGGAACTGACAGTTCTTACCCTAGCTATAAATAAATAACATATAGGTTTCTATAACACTGACAGTGGAGCTGATAATTGTTACCCCCTCCCCTCCATCCCCCCCCCCCAATAAAAAATATGTCCCTACAAAACCAGTACTTTAAGCTACTTTGCCCATCAAATACTGTGGAATCATTTTAATTCGTGGGTGTCAATGTTCGTGGGTAAGCAAAATTTTACTTGTTCGTGGGGACGTTATTTCGTGGGTTACCAGTTAATACGATGGTTCATTATATCAATATATAAATGAAATAAACGTTCGTGGGGATGTAATTTCGTGGGTAAGGGTGACACACGAAATCCACGAACATTGGTCCCCCACGAACAATGATGATTCTACAGTATAGACCCCCTGGAAGAATTAAAATGATTCCACAGCGTATGTTATTAAAAGTCTTCTTTAGCAATGAAAATATCAAACAGTTTAATAATCTACTTTGCCAAATCAATGTTGAACAATACATACGATCCTGGTGAACAGGTAAACTCGCAATGTGCCCCAAAGTTTCCTGGGGGGCAGACACAGGCACCAGAGACGGGGTCACAGCCCTGGGGGCAGGGGCAGGTCTTAACACACTGAT